AATAGAACACTCCTGATCTTCGCTGTGTTTCGTTTGTTTTCATAATTTTTAATTGAAACAGTTTAGAAAAAAAAAACTATAGGAATTTTGAGACTTAGGATATCGAATTTTCGGAATTTTAAAAACATAGACAACGTTTTAATCTTAATCTTTCAAGATTTTGCAGTTCAAATTCCTGAACACAGGACATGTTTTGATTTAGATATACTATTTAAAATTCGAATTTTTGAGAGATGTTCAATAATTAACAAGAAGAAGGTCTTATATAACGTTGAGCACATCATTCCTTCAAAAGAAGTCTTCTATTACGTGCAAAAGTTTATTTTAAAGTCAAATAATGTGTATAGTAGATCATTAGCAATTGCGTTTTGTACGTTTTTTTTTTCAAAAGCGTTTATAAAGCATCTAAATAACTACTATAAATGTTTAATTTATGATTATAAATGGATCAAGTAAAGCATCCTCATAGCCTTGCTAATGTGTCCATTTAATGAAAGACACCAAGGTGAAAATGAATGAGAACAGAAAGCAAAAAAAAAACACGCGTTTGCATGCATATGTACAGAACATCAAACAAGTATATCTGACTATTATTCATAAAAAATGCATTTTTTTTTTCGATCCATACAGGTGTACAGGAGGTGAAAAAAACAACAATGGTAAGTCTCTATATCAAGTGTAGATAAGGATTGCATTATGAAAAATGATAGATAACTATAACGCTTCGTTGGGCAATTTTGTTTTTTGTTCTCTAACAAAACGTGTAACTCCATTTTCATTAACGTTCTTATGATAATGAGAACAGTATACCAATCACTCTTTGTTTTTTTTTTCATTTTACATAAGTACTCATAAGTTGAACTACATTTGTTTATTCACCTAACTAGGACTAGATATGTATAACATTAAAATATTCAACCATTAATACAATATAAACGACTGAATATTATGAAGAAATTTATTCATTTAAAACATACTAAAATTGTCAATGATAAAGATTGTAAACAAGAAGCTTTTACTAATGCAAAACTATCAAATAAAGTAAGTTAATTCTTTAATAGAAAAAAAAACGAATAAAAATAAAATTCATAGATATTTTTTATTATTATTAAATTTAGTATTCACTAGGTGCAGAACAATTATGGCGTGAAACTACATATTTTCGTGATGATACATTGCATCCAATTCAATCACCTACTACTTATGAACAAACAACTCCTCTTAAAACTTTCAATATTTTAGATAATAGTTCGCAATATGATATTCATAATATGTATGATACAAATGATGCATTAATTAAAACAAGTCCATCAACATCTTTTTCATCAACTTGTTCATCTGATTGTAGTCCATATTCACGTTTAATTCCATTTGAAATTCAACATCAATATTCAACAACACCATTAAATGAACATTCATATCAACATTCAGTTTCAATAACACATTCAAGTCCAACTAATCATTCATTGAATTCTTCATTTATGTGTCAACAATGCCTTCCACCAGATGATGAATGTTCTGAACCTATTACATATGAAATTTTTATCAAACAACAACAACAACAACAACAACAAAATACAAACGAATTAGCATCTTGTTATAGTTTATACAATAATGAAACATTATCTTCTTCATATAAAACTGATTATAATAATCTTTCCAATATTGTTACTGAAGAGCCTAATCAATATCAATTAGACGATAAATCAGCAGTTCATTTAGAATCATCATTACCTTTACCTGCTCCAATTTCATTTTCTGTTGAAAACTTGTGTTCGCCTGGCATACAGAATTATTATTTATCATTACCTTCACATGTATTTAATAATTCTTTTAAAAACCATTCATTAATAAATAGTTCAGAAATATCCAAAGCAAAAAATAAAAAATCCTCGCATAATAATAGATCACGAGGAGATCGACCGCTGTACTTATGTTCATATCCTGGATGTGTAAAAACTTACTCAAAACTATGTCTTCTACGTTCTCATGAAAGAATACATTCTGGTATTAAACCATATTCATGTACATGGCCAGGATGTGAATGGAAATTTGGACGATCTGATGAATTAACACGACATTATCGGTAAAAAGAAAAAAAAAATTAATAGAACAAAAAGAAATTCAAAATTTTGATTTCTTTCGTTTTTTTCAGAAAACACACCGGTGTAAAACCATTTGCCTGCCCATATTGTGATCGAGCATTTGCTCGTTCCGATCATTTGACACTTCATACAAAACGTCATCTATCAAAGAAAATTTAGCTATAAACAAAAATATTGATTCAAGGAAAAATGATTTGTTATTTTTTTTTCCAGTTAATCATGTAATGTAATATTTAACTATTGATTGAAAATAAAATGTTTTTGTTTTTTAATATTAATACTCATGTATTTTGGTTTTGTATCATCATTTGAGTATATTTGCTAAATAAGTCTTTGATTATCATAATATATTGTATACTAAATCGAATAAAAAATCCGATGTGATGATGTTCGTTTCACCTTCACATTTTTTTTTCTGATTAAGTTACATAATGACCTCAAACAACTTTGGTCCTGATATAATCATCAATATTAATGAATATGCGTTCGAGAAAAAATAAAAATTATTGATGACAACAAAAGAAAAAAAAAGAAAATTATTCATCGATTGGTTTTTGAAAATGATGAGCAATTTTTTATTAGATATTTTTATTAGTATTTCGCTGATCTTTGTGTTAACAATGCACCATAAATCGTTGTGTATACTAGAGTTCAATATGTGTTAGGGTGGAGAACATCCAGTTATATATCAAAAATGTTTTAGATTCAAACGAATGATTTTGATATATACAGGTACTGCGTCGTACCTTTATTTATTTTAATGTAGACGGTTGTCGCTCGATGTTCTTTTACTTTCTTTGTTTGCTCGGTTATAATTACACCTTATTCATTCAATAAACCGATTAATGATTGTATCTGACCTTACCTTGATTAGTACAGTGGTCCCAAATGGCTTTTTTTTCTTGTCTTACTTACCATTTTCTTTTTCATGTATTGCTTTTATATAATCAAAAATACAGAGTCTACAAAAACGCTTCATTGTCGATTAGTAAAAAAAATGACGAACTATGGTTGAAAGTCAATAGATAGAAAAAAAATTGTGTGCTTAAATATCATATTTCAATCACGTTACTTTAATCTGATTCGATTCGAACAGAATTCTAAAATGTATACAGAAAATATACTGATAAATTTCACTTTTATTATTATTTTTTTGTATCTTTAAAAATCGTGTGCTAATTTAATGCCGTAAACAATATCTATTTCAACGCACTTTGTTTATATGCAAATTTTTAAAATATGATAATCAATTATTGATTGAGCTAATTAATTTTTATTAGACGTCAAGCAATTCATTTTTCAATTAGAAAGATAGTACTGTATGATATATCGAGAATCAAGAGTTTTCGATTTTTATATGCATATAAATTAGCTTATGTTTGTTTATATTTTTCTATTTTTGTATCTGAAAGGTTCATTCTTCATTTTAAACATTTGTAAAAAAAAAATGTTTTAAAATCTTTGTATCATTCCTAATTAAATATATCGAGTGAATTGTTTTTCTATTTTTTATCTCAATGGTTCAATTTTCATTTCAAATATTCGGAGATTCATTTACTATCTAATTGATATTCAACAAATGTTTTTTGAATGACTACAATTGAGTACATCCTATGAAAGAATATTTTTTTTCTACATCCATATAATAATAATAACACATTGGAATAGACTTTGTGTTAATATGAGATGTAGTCAAATCTAATGGCAATGTTTAAACCAAGTTCAATTAACTGTTATAGAAATTTTCAATTTCATTACATAATATGTTATTATTTTAATATATGAGTTGTTTCTCATGGTATACTGTGATCATGACTTCATTCAAACTTTTATTCATATAACTTATCCACTGAAGTTAACGACTGTACCAGCAAACAGAAGTAGTCATTTTAATTTATATTTTGTTAACACTATTAAATGAATAGATCTATTATCAATAGTCAAGTATCAAGAAGAAAAGAAAAAGACATCATATCTCATATTGATACATTTATTTTTTATCAGAAAAATTTAGAAAATATTGGCGAATTTAACTTTCTCAAAGAATATAAGAAAACACAACAATATAGGCTGTATGGTATTAGGATTTTATTCTGATTTATGCGTTTAAGTGTTATATGGATTAAAATCAGCTGAACGAATAACTTGACTTTAATTTTATTACATTATTTTAATAATTTTAAAAGTAATGCTTGAATTTAGTTGATATTTAAAGATTCATTTAGGTTCGCTCAAAAAATCATAGAAATAATTATCTGTTTTTTATATAGTTTTTATAACTAGTCTTTCATGATTTGTCTAGAGCAGGGCTTAAAAAAAGAAAAAGAAATTCTAAAATTTATTTGAGATGATTT